TTTTTTAGAGGAATTATTTGAAGGCCTCTATGGACTCTAGGTGGGGATTTTTTAGAGGAATTATTTGAAAACCTCTATGAACTCCATGTGGGAATTTTTAGAGAAATTATTTCAAGGACTCTCGGAACCAAGGGTTAGGATTTTTTTCAAAAAAATATTTCAAGGACTCTCGGAACTAAGGGTTAAGATTTTTTTCAAAAAATTATTTCAAGGCCTCTATGAACTCTAAACGTGGATTTTTTTAAAGACTTTTTTCAAGGCCTCTAACCACTGTTCTGTTGTTCGGAATTGTTTTTCATATTCCCAACTTCTGTATATCACAAATTTTGTCACTTCATATTAAGTGAGGCCTGTGTGTGGAATGGAAATTTGCAAGACACCATGCAAAACCGTAACAATAACACCCAAAAAATAACAACACCAACACCGAACATAACGAAATCTTTGAAGCCTATGACAAAGGCCATGAAGTGTTGGCGTTACCCCAAAGATGTTGGAAGCAAGGCAAAGCAAAAATCTGTTTTAGATCAAAAACCACTCATTAATTAAGTGTGTAATTCCTTGTTACGTTTGTCGGCTGGTTCGGTTGTTATGCGTAATACAGTTGCCCCAACGAGAAGAAGCCTTTGCCAGCATAATTCTGTTCTGCATGATCCATGTTCAACATTCAACAGCCGTGATGGCCTTTGCGGAGATATTTTTAGTGTAGTTAGTTGTGTGCCACCCCACCCGCAAGCACCCACTCTCCGGTGAAAAAATTGTGGTATCGCTAGCAACCTACTCAAAAACAAGAATAACAACAACAAAGGAGGCAAAATAATGTATTTCGAAAATAAAGGAGCTTTCGTTTGATGTCTGTCTTAAAGAGTTTTTTTTTTGTTGTTGTTGCTGGAGTTGCTGTTGTTGTTATGGATTCCTTGTGATGCTGCTCCATTTCTATATTCCTTCCTTGGTTCGCTTTTGTGTTCGTTCGGCATATGAGGGTGTGTTTTGTTTGTAGTGTTCATATTTGCTTTTTGTTTCATTCAAATAACCAACCCACCCTCCGACCGACCGACCTCCCGAACCGATCCAATTTTACCCTTCCAGCAAACCCGGCAACAAAACATCCAGCCAGCCATCATCCATCCAACCATCCATCTAAGCGTCTGTCTGTTCAATTCATTCATTTACTCACTTGATTGTTGTTGTAGCTTTCATGTTGTTGTTCTCCTTTTGTTGATGTTGTTGTAATGTATTTTGTTTTCTTCAATGATTAAATATGATTTAATGTGGTGGTATAAATTTTGTAAATTTGCAAAGAAGAATCCAAATGATTTTTTTCTCTGGTCCTTTGTAAGCAACAGACAATAATCAGAAGGAGGGTGACAGTGGGGAGGAGACAATAGTGCAAATAGGGGGGAGGCACAAATTATGTATGTCTGGAAACTAACAAGCATAACGGACATATATTTTAAAATAGCTTAATAAGGAAATCGCAGATCAAAGCTGAGCATGACAATTGGAAGAGTGTGAAAATGAAGAAATGGAAAGTCTGAAGGAAGGAGGGGGTTTAATAGAATGACAAGGTCTCTATGAGTTCTAGGCGTGGATTTTTTAAAGAAATTATTTCAAGGACTATCTCAGCTTCAGCCGTGAATTTTTTAAAGAAATTAATTTAAGGACTACCATAGCTTTAGGCGTGGATTTTTCAAAGAAAATATTTCAGAGACTATCAGAGCTTCAGGCGTGGATTTTTTAAAGAAAATATTTCAGAGACTATCAGAGCTCCAGGCGTGGATTTTTTAAAGAAAATATTTCAGAGACTATCAGAGCTCCAGGCGTGGATTTTTTAAAGAAAATATTTCAGAGACTATCAGAGCTTCAGGCGTGGATTTTTTAAAGAAATTATTTCAAGGCCTCTATGAACTCTAGGCGTAAATTTTTTAAAGAATTTTTTCCAAGGCCTTTATGAACTCGAGGCGTGGATCTATTAAAGATTTTTTCAAAGGCCTTTATGAACTCGAGGCGTGGATTTTTAAAAGAATTTTTTCCAAGGCCTTTATGAACTCGAGGCATGGATTTTTAAAGAATTTTTTCCAAGGCATCTATGAACTATCAAAGCTATTAATGTGGATCTCCCATAGACAGTAAAATTAATGTGAAATATATTGTGACCTCCTTGACCTCCTGCCGATCTTCTATCGATAGAAAACTCTTTATAGATCTTCTATAAATAAAAATCCTTATATGAACCTCCAAAATTGTGTTCCACTTCAAAATCTCCATTTGGGTCAATTATCTCTCTTTCTTTCTGTCCACACTCATTTCATACCCTCAAAGTCATACAATTAAAATAGTTTTCCATCTTCACTTCACTTAGTTGACGCATATCATGCATTCATTTCTAATCACTCTTTCACTTCGCAGCGCGTTATAAATAGCGTCGACTCTAATTTGTAAATTCTTTAAAAGTTCAACGCAAAAGGTTATCATCATCGACATTTGCAACTCACAACAACACAGCGTAAACAACACGAAACTCTGGCCGGTTAAACAAACCACAGCCTATAATGTCGTCCATCGTGGTGCGTCTGTCTGTCTGTCCGTCGGTCCGTCTGTCTGTCAGTGCAATGAACAATCAATTCTTTGAAGTGTCGAGGAATTTTTTTATAAAACAATTCAAAGATGCCGCCATTCAAATAAATAAGAAACTGAACTAAAAAAATCGAAATAAAAAAATAAATATTTTTATTTCTATGTTATCAGTGAGCAGATGTACAACACTACTTATTTGTGTGTGTCTGTATGAGTTCAGATGCAAAGCAAGTGATTTTCTTTGTGCTAAAAAAAGAGAATAAATTATTTTAAGTTTTTCCTCTATATAATTTTTTCCTTTTCATTTCAATTTGTAATGCAAAACAAGTGTAAATAAGTGTAACAGCGACTCTAAAAGCTGTTTTGAAATATATAATCAAAAGCTTCGGGGAGGGAACCAGACAAACGGTCAATAGCCTAAGGGTACATATTCTTATTAGATGGATAATTGTGGCAAATAGAAAATTAAATGAGACGAGACAAATTCATCTTCGGGAATAAGAGAAACAATTTCGATAACATAGTTTTTTATTGACATTAATCGATAACACAATTTTTCAGTTGTTCGATAACAACGTTTTCTATAGAAAAATTGTTCGAAAATAAAATATTTTATAGACTGTTATTCGATAACAACATTTTTGGTACAAAAAATATTCGATAATAAAATTATTCATAGAAAAATTTATTGATAAAAGTAATGTCTATTAAAAAGTTGTTCGATAGCATCAAAAATACTTCGATAACTTTATTTTCTATTGAAAACATTTTTGATTACTATTTTTATTCTAGAAAAACGGTGCGATAATAATATTTTCTATATAAAAGTTGTCCGATAACTACATTTTCGATAGAATAGTTGTCCGATAACAAAATTTTCTATGGAAAGTTGTTCTATAAAGACATTTTCTATAGATAAATTCTTCGATAACAAAAATTTCTGTAGAAATGTTGTTCGATAGCAATTTTTTGATTCGATAACAATATTTTATATAGCCAATTTTTTCGATTACAACATTTTCTATAAAAAAGTTGTTCGATAACAACATTTTCTATAGCAAAGTAGTTCGATAACAACACTTTCTCTAGAAAAGTTGTTCGATAACAACTTTTTCTATGAAATAGTGTTCGATAACATCATTTTCTATGAAAAATTGTTCGATAACAATATTTTCTATAAGAAGTTCTTCGATAACTGCATTTTCTATAGAAAAATTATTCGATAACAACATCTTCTGTAGAAAAGGTGTTCGATAACATAATTTTCTATAGAAAAGCTGTTCGATAATAATACTTTCTATAGAAAAGTTGCTCAATCACAACACTTTTTGTAGCAAATTTTTTCGATAACAAAATTTTCCATTAAAAAGTTTTTGGATAACAACTTCCTCTACACAAAAGTTGGATCTATAACACCATTTTCTATCGAAGAGTTGTTCGATAAGACAATTTTCTGTATAAAAGTTGTTCGATAACAACATTTTCTATAGAAAACTTGTTAGAGAAAAAATTTTGTATAGAACTGTTGTCCGATGACAACATTTTCTAAAGAAAATTTGTTCGATAACAACATTGTCTATAGAAAAGTTGTTCGATAACAACATTATCTATAGGAAAGTTCTTCGATAACTACATTCTCTATATAAAAGTTCGTAGATTACAACATTTTCTATAGAAAAGTTGTTCGATAATAACATTTTATATAGAAAAGTTGTTCGATAACAGCAAATTCTATAAAAAAGTTGTTCGATAACAGCAAATTCTATAGAAACGTTGTTCGATAACAGCATTTTCTAGATAAAAGATGTTCGATAGCACCAGTTTCTATAAAAAAAAGTTGTTCGATAACAGCCTTTTCTAGAGAAAAATAACAACATTATCTATAGGAAAGTTCTTCGATAACTACATTCTCTATATAAAAGTTCGTAGATTACAACATTTTCTATAGAAAAGTTGTTCGATAATAACATATTCTATAAAAAAGTTGTTCGATAACAGCAAATTCTATAGAAACGTTGTTCGATAACAGCATTTCCTAGATAAAAGATGTTCGATAGCACCAGTTTCTATAAAAAAAGTTGTTCGATAACAGCCTTTTCTAGAGAAAAGTTGTTCGATAATAAAATATTCTGTCCGATAACAAAATTTTGTTCAGAAAATGCATTCGATAACACTATTACAGACTAAAAATTTGTCCGATAACAACATTTGTTATAGAAAATTCGTTCGACAACAGCCTTATAACCCCAAAAAATTGTCTGAGAATTACGGCAAGTGGTTCGATAACATCAATGCTGATTGAAATCAATGGTGATTGATCGATAACAATCCTTTCCATATAAAATTATACCGATATCAAAGTTTTGGCCTTTATAAAAATCTTTCGATCACAACCTTTTCTAAATTTAAATTTTCGAACTTACCATACGGTGGATGCTGCATATTCTGCTTAACATTCGACGATCTCACCGAACCCACAGATGCCTCAACATCGGTCGAATCTTCCGAATACATGTCATCGTCATCTTCATCGCCATCATTCCCATCCCCGTTATCATCCCTCAAATGATATTGATTTTCATTGGGATCTTCTTCATCGTCGGCATATTGGGCCTCGGCACTTTGGGGATATTTGGTGAGGGCCATTGATAATTTGTTGTTGTTATTATTATTATTGTTGTTGTAATAGTTCGTCCCAACACTTGTGTAATATTGCTTGTTAATGCGTTTCCAATGTTGTTGTGATTCATTGGGTCGATGATTGGCGGACGTGCTTGTAAATCCACTGCTACGACGTTGTTGTTGTTGTACTTGTTGGCGTTGTCTTTGGCTGTAATGCTGTTGTAGTAGTTGTTGTTGCTGCTGCTGTTGATACCGTAGCTGTTGTTGTCGCAACAGTTGTTGCTGTTGCTCATCGTGATATTCATCGTCATTATCAATATGGCGAACGGAAGTGACTAAGGCTGGCATTAACAGCAAAAGTAGAAGACCAGCAGCTATTAGTAGCTGGAATTGATAAATTCGTAGCTGGTAGGATGAGGATGAGGAAGAAGAAGACTTCTGCATTTTTCTACGCAATGTTGTTTTTGACAACAGCAATTTGTACGAATTTGATTTGATGGCTAATGATGATTTGATTGGGTGTGGGCATGTATGTGTGCGGAGAGCGAACGTGTGTGTGTGTTTTGTACTATGGAGTGCTGACAAAAATATCAACAAGGTTTCACCCCAACAAGATAGTTTAGCTTGTCCACCAGCCACTACTTATTCCCTCCGTTTCGGTTATATGTCAATCACCAGCGTTTGTCGTTGTTGTTGCTGTCAATCGGTGGTCGCTTGACCTGACAAATACCACAAAAATAGACTTTGTTTCCGTTTGGTGTTCCACTGTTGTTTTCTAGCTTTTGTTTCTTTTCTTTGTTGACAAAAACGAACTCACTTCGCAGTCCTGTAATGGAATTTGCATGGGCACCCCTGGCTGCTTATCATTCGCCTATTTGAATTTTAATGCATTTCCACTGAGGGGCCTTTGATAAAAACATGTTTTTTTTTGTTTTTGAATGCAAAAAAGAAAACAACATGAAAAACCAGAACTCAAGGGATATCACTTTGGTTTTTCCCCAACAACAAACAGACAATAATTCCAGATTCAGATTGTTGTCCCGACTGGTGGCGTTGAGGTTCTTTATGAATTTTAGTTCGTTTGTTGTTTTTGTGACTCTCACCTATTTTGCAAGTAAATGTGGTTTTAATTGCTTTTTATGCTTCTGCTGTCGTTCTGTTCCTCGTCATCATTGTCGTCTTTATTATCACCAGAACTACCAGCTACAGCTTCAGTCAGCTTGGCGGTATAATATCGTATTGTAGCTTGAGGTTTTGAGCGTGTTGTTGTAATTTTATTTTATTTTTTGTTAATTAATCTTTATTACTTTTAATTGTCTCATTCATATTTTTCTTTTGGCGTTTTGTGCACAAAATTTTCTCATTTGCTTGTTGTTGTTGTCGTCGTCGTCGTTTTTGTAGATTGTTAATTTTTTTATGGCACTTGTTCCTTCCTCGTTTTTCTGTGGGACTTTTTTTGTTTTGTTTATGGGACATCCAGTTCTTACTTTCTAGGCTTTGTGCGTTTCTTGTAGCTGGTTGTACTTTAATTGGAGAAACAAATTTGTCTTTTTTTTTTGGCAGAGAACTTTAAGAAATTTCGAATTTTGTGTCAGCAGTTCTGAAATCAAAACGAAGAAAATTAAAAATTAATGTATTTTATTGATATTTCAAATATACATATATGGTCTGTTCCAGAACCTGCAGGAATGTACAATTTTTTTCTATGATAACAATTTTTCCTTTATGTTATCGGAAAAAATAGTAAAAATTAGTAGATTCTTGCAGTACGGGAACAGACCAATACTGACAAATAAGAAATAATTATTCGATAATAAGGGGTTTCTACTATTTTTTCCGATATCATAAAGGAAAAATTGTTATCCTAGTAAAAAATTGTACATTCTTGCAGGTTATGGAACAACATTTTTTATAGAGAAGTTGTTCGCTAGCAACATTTTGTATTAAAAGTAGTTCAATAACAAAATTTTCTGTAGACGTTTTGTTCAACATTTTCTATAGAAAATATTTTCGATAACAACATTTTGTATAGAAAAGTTGGTCGATAACCACAGTTTATAGAGAACAATTGTTTGATAACAATATTTTCTATTGAAAAGTTGTTCGATAACAAGATTTTCTATAGATATGCTTTTCAATAGCAACGTTTGTATAGAAAAGTTGTTATGCAACAAAATTTTCTATACAAAAGTTGTTCGATAACAACATTTTCTATAGAAAATTGGTTCGACAACAAAATTTTCTTTAGAAAAGTTGTTCGACAACAAAATTTTCTATTGAAAAGTTGTTCAATAACAACATTTTCTACAGAAAAGTTGTTCGACAACAATATTTTCTATTGAAAAGTTGTTCGATAACAACATTTTCTATAGAGATGCTTTACAATAGAAACGTTTTGTATAGAAAAGTTGTTATGCAACAACATTTTCTATATGCAACAAGTTGTTCGATAACAACATTTTCTACAGAAAATGTGTTCGATAACAACATTTTCTATACAAAAATGGTTCGACAACAAAATTTTCTTTAGAAAAGTAGTTCGACAACAACATTTTCTATAGAAATGGTTTTCGATGACAACATTTCTACAGAAAAGTTGTTCGATAACAACATTTTCTACAGGCAAGGTCTTCGAGAACAACATTTTCTATAGAAAAGGTCTTTGATAACAACCTTTACAATAGATAAGTTGTTCAACAACAACATTTTCTGAAATAAAGTTATTCTACAACAACGTTTTCTAAATAAATGTTTTTCTATAACAAAATGTTAGATAATAAAATCTTCAATAGCAAACTTATTCGATAGCAATCCTTAACCTGCTCTCAAGTTCTGCAAATATTTTCTACAGATGTGGACCTTGAATGTCGGATGTGAGTAGAATGTTGGATGTGAGAACAGACATAAACAATTGTGAAAGGATGAAAAATATTACCAAATTTGAATGAATTAACCGGATAAGAAGAGAATAAGGTCTCCGGAAGAACAGACAAATTTCAAAACTGTGAAAAGGAAAAGGATCTTCTCTTTATCGAATACGAAGGTAAAACTCCAAGTCTAGGGGGATTGTTTCGAAAATTGATCGACTGAAGGCGGGATAGCTGGTTCTTCTAACTTCGGATTCTCCCGTTAAAGAAGACAAGAACCTAATTGAAATATTTCATAAAGATTGGGAATCCAAATAGAAACAAATGGAATATACGATGTCAGGAAGGATTTTGGGAGGCAAGATTTACTAAGCAATTCATTCATTCATTGAACGAATTAAATGACCTGCACCAATTTACGATTGAACTTAAAAGGCACTAGGTCACTTTTGCAAAGTGAACCGGAAAATATATCATTATCATTGTAATGAAGAAGTGAGAATAAGTCATACAGAGGTGGGAGAACGAACTTTACTTGTGATTAGCTTTGACAAGTCTTGCATGGCAAGTCTGGCCAAGACGAAGGTTAAGGTGTACTATGTGTCAAATTCTGTCTTATTCAAGATTGGAAGAGGATGAGACAAACACAGCGAGAGAGACATAGAAAATATTACAGACTCCCAAGAAGGACTATTTATTGAGGACATTCATATAAGCTTCAACTGGAGTGAGACCGCAACAATTCTGTTGAAGCGTTCAGAAAATAATTTCTGAACATTCCTCAATCGCGGTGCAAAAAACCTACCACCTAAACCTAATAGAAATACACAGAAAAATAATTCGTATATTATATAAAGTGTTCAGAAAGTGTTGCAAATGTCGGGATTTCTGCGTGGTTAGTGGTTTCTTGTCAGAAAGAGTTAGAGTGAAAAAAAAACAACTTTGGATTGCGTGATGGGTTTCTATAGCACATAAATTCTTTGTCGTTATAATTTTTATAGTTTGACTTTATCCTTTCTTCTTCGTTTTCACGTATTTACTTATATGTTCATGTTCTTCGTCGTTAAAACAACCATATAAAATATTAAACATTCGGTTGGACTTGTTGTTCGTACAAACACTTGTTTGATATATTGTGTATAGCATTTATATCGAAATAATTTGGAAAATATATATGCGAATTGTGTACCACCAATCCAAAGGTCGGTAAGAGTGTCTGAAATAAAGAAACAATGGAATGTAAAAGTAGTCACCATTGAGTGAATCAATGCAAAGTCGGCGGTTGTTAGCAACAGAAACAGTAGTCAAATCAGAGGATGCAAAAACAAACAAATTAGGGAATTGGAGTAGACCGAAAACACTGCCGAACAATGAATAGTACTTGTGGTGGTGTATTTTTTTATGATTTTGGTCGCCAGAAGATGTTGTTAAAGAGTTCATAAAGCCTGGTTTGGAGGTGTCTCATAAAAGTGAAAAAAATGCTTCAATAGCTGGTTAAAGCGCAGGTTAGAGTGAATTAAAATTGTACAGTATTATAATTGGGGGGTATGACAGCTGCTGGAGTGGGCCACTTAGCGTTTTTTGACGGAAATATGGATAAATATGCATATCTCGGAATTTTAAAAACAATCGATCTTATGGGTTATCGATGCCAAGACGTAGCCGTCTAAAAAGTAGTAAAGGATATTCAACAAAGTATTAAAACTGTTTTATACCAATATTTTTTAGCATTAAAAACAAGTATAGATTTTACGCGATACATGCATTTAAAAACCAGTAAGGAAAGTAGTAAAGTCGGACGGGGCCGACTATATGATACCCTTCACCACTTTGGGTATATTCAACAGATGAATTCTAACAGACGTCGAATTTTTAAAGGACCAGCAAAATGAAATTGGATCCATAAACATGTCATTCTGCAACCTATACTAATTTCTTTCATTTGGTCAAATAAAGAAGCTATATCTAAATCTGAACTGATTTCAATGATTTCAGGAAATTTAACACACATCATTCTATACTTCATTCATTACGCTTTGCCAAATTTCGTGCAAATCGAAAGATATATAGGGACTTTGGTGCACCATTTACCTAAAATCGGACGAAACTATATATGGGAGCTATATCTAAATCTGAACCGATTTTCATGAAACTCAGCACACATCATTCTAGGCCTAATTTATTACGCTGTGCCCAATTTCGTGCAAATCGAAAGATATATAGGGACTTTGGTGCGCCATTTACATAAAATCGGACGAAACTATATATGGGAGCTATATCTAAATCTGAACCGATTTTCATGAAACTCAGCCCACACCATTATATGCCTAATTCATTACGCTGTGCCAAATTTCGTCCAAATTGAAAGATATATATGGGAGCTATATCTAAATCTGAACCGATTTTCCCAATTTCAATAGGGTTCGTCCTTGGGCCAAATAAGTGACTTATGCCAAATTTCATCCAAATCGGATCATAAATGCGACCTGTACTTTGTTCACAAAAATACATGGACGGACGGACAGTCGGACATGCGTAAATCGACTCAGAAAGTGATTCTATGCATATTTACAAAAG